TTGAACTGAGCAGCACTATTGTTGATGTGTGACAACTATAGACTAGTCGTAAGGGTCTTGTTTTCTGCACTGGCCTGTTTTTTTCCTGCCTCAAGAATGGATGGTAAGCCCATTATCATGGGCATGAAGAAGTGCCCTCTGACACTACTGATGCATTTAAGTTGAACCCATTTGCAATTCAAACCTCAACTGATGTTGGGTTAAGAAAATTCTGTTCCTTTGAGCCAAACCATCGATTGGATGCTTGACCAGCTTAAACAGTCCTAGATTCAATGTAAAGAACTCTGGTTTTAACTCTTGGGAATGTATGGATGCATATACATATTATTTTCAGTACCAATAGAACACTGTGGCTTCTTGTTGCTTTCTTTTGTGACTTTTTTTTCTTCATTGTTCCATTAAATGTACAGCCCTAGAAGCCACGTTGGCTCACAAACTCTAAACCATATCCAACTGTCTAAAGTTAGGTAAGAGATATGGATGGCCCGAGTCCAAATAAATCAAGGTACGAGGGACTTTATGAACTTAAGCAATATTTGGAAAGAATAAACAAAAGCTAGCAAGATGCAGTACTGTGGAAACAAGAAAACATAATGAGGGAATTGAGGGCAATATGTTTGAAAATGCAATAGGGGTCAGCGAATCTGTAGCAAAACCTGTGTTTGGGTAAAGAAAAAACCAGTATTTTGACACAGTGAAACTAAGAATGGCTTCAGGCTGCCTTAGGTGTTGAGGTGGGAATCAGATGAAGGGAATGTTATGAGGATACAGAAAGAAAAAGATGCTGCATGTTTGTATCAGGTGTACGTGAGAAAAGCCTTGGTCCCGCTGTTATGACAACATATAGTTATTTGAGAAACTACTGCTTCAAATACAATTCCATATTTGCTTGATGGTTACCAGGCAGACAGACCACTTTGAAACAAGCTTAACATGTTTGTCTGCTTCCTAACAGAATTGTGGCATTTTCACTCTAGAATTCCTCCAACGCCTCACATGTGCTCATAATACAAGCTCCCTAATGCTGCTGGTTTTATGATTCTAATGGATGAATCTTGCTCAGATTAGAGTTTGATTGTGTTATTGGAAAAGATCTCTACCCCCACAAGCAGGTGGGAAGGAGAATAATGATCTCTGTAAGAAGGTGTCCCCTCTTGTCCCCTTGGCCAGGTTCTTGTACCTTGTTGATTCTTCTAAGTTTCTTCATACTTATAAAGCTGTTTAAGCTAACCAATAATATGCCTGCAGTAGCAGCTTCCATTGTTTTCTTAAATGAGAAGTTTTTTTTTCTTTGTTGCATTAACCTACAAATATCAAACTCTGGAACCCATTCAAGAAGTAAAACCAAGCCAACCACAAACCCCACCCTACCCCCCAATTTTCAGAATTATGTTGGTGTTGGAGGACTGGCATACATAGATTTTGATGGGGAGTGGGAGTTGGAATGAAATTGTGATTATTATAAATTCTTCAAGGCTTCCAATATTATGCAAGGCACAGTGGGATAAATGAAATGAGAATACTAGTTAATAATTATTCATGCATCTGAGCACACATTAGTGGCAATACAGATAATCAACTGATGACCTTAATGTGGAGCAGATTTTCCACTGTAAGTTAGTGCAGTTGATAAATGAGTCATCACATGACTGGATCTGATTTTACCATATATTCTGTGGTTGTTAAGTGAATCGCCATAGCTTTACTTAAGCAAATCACATGGATGTTAAGCAAATCCAGCTTTCCCATCTGGTGTTTTTTGTCAGAAACCAGTTGGAAAGATCAAATATTATGGTTATATGATCACAGGAGCTGCAACTGGTCATTGATGCAAGCCAGTTGCCAACTGTGGGGATGGTATAACAGTTATAAGTGTGAGGACAGGTCTAAATCTATTTTTCGAAGGCTGTTGTAACTTTGAGCCATCATTAAATGAATGTGGGACCGTCTATAATACATTCAGGAGGTGGAATGTAATATAGAAGCTTGGAGGGTTTGTGAGAAAAGAATGATCTCTGGAAGAGAAATAAAAACTGAGGGAGGAATAAGCTATGGCCATGATGGCGAACCTATTGCACCCATGCCAGAGGTGGCATGCAGAGCCCTCTCTGTGGGCACACACTGACATCAGCTCCACTTCTGGTTTCCGGTGTACACATCGCCAGCTGGTCTTTGCAGGCTCTGGAGCGCCTGAAAACGGCCTGAAAACAGCCTAGAAAACGGCTTGAAAATGGGCATGCGCATGCCAGCCAACTAGTCTTCAGGTTTCTGGTGCTCAGATGTGCGTGAACACCAGCTGGCCGGTGTGCATGCTGGAAACCCAAAGACCAGCCGTCTGATGTGCACATGTGCACTGACCAGTTGGTCTTCGGGTTTCTGGTGCTCCGGCACACACACGTGTTCCAGTTTGGGCACTCGGTGCCGAAAAGGTTCACCATCACTGAGCTATGGCATGCGTTGAAAGCTATTACTTGCACATAAAAATCCATAAAAAATCTTTCATCTCTTTAGGTTTTTCTAAAGGAGACAATGAAGCAGAGGCATGCTAGCTTCCACAAAATTGAGAGCAACCTGAAAAATTCAGAAAATCCCTGAAAAAAGTAGGGGGGAGGAACCCTCGTTGACTGTGTGTCATGGAAACAAAGGCTGGACTCTACTACACAAGTTTAACTGAGCATTTTGCAGGGCCATAAATGCAAACACAATGGGGGCCGTAGCCACCTAGAGATCCTCAGGGCAGAGGGTCCATTTAAAATCAACAATACTTTAATTTAAAACAACAACAAATCTGGTGGCAATCTTCTGTAGGCTCAGCCTGCACACATACATAGGAACTCCGGCCTAGTGGGTGATGACAGAATGGCAGCTGGAAGTGGGCTGTGAATGTACTGTAGCTTGTACTCACAAAGGCAAGTGGTAGAATGCAGCAGAGACGCACAAACGCTTTGTGGCTCTCTATTGACCCAGATTCTTGCTGTCCAAATCTGGTAGCCTCTATATTAAGGAAGCACCCCTAATTGTTTATTTCTTGATAGTGCAATCCTCCACAAGCAGAAGTCTGCTCCCTCCATTGTAGCCATTGTCTTTTTGATGACTAATACTCAAAGGTCCATCAAAGAAGACTTCCTTGGATTCAAGAGACCACCTCTGCCCCTGGCATTCTGCCAAGATGATAGCAATGTTGGCAGAGAAGCCTGCTGGTCCATGAGCCCTGGTCCAGTCTGATACTGCTAGCCTTTGCATGCTATCAGTAAAAGGCAGAGCAGCCACCTAAATCACAAGATGAAATTCTTAAAAGGAAGTGCTCATTTTCATCCCTACAAACCATTTGGCTGAGGTTCTCAAGCTCAGGAACAATAGCTCTTCTGCATGTTTTTTTTTTAAAATGCAATGAAGTCTTTCTGTTGCAGGATGAGAGACTGAGATATTTGTGTAGTCTGGCTGAATTTTTGTATTATGTAACTAGGCACTGAAAGATCCACAGCCATACTGGGAAACCAAATGTTCTTTTCCACCAAAGTCTTGTTTGGTTTGGAAAGCTTTCTAAATTCTAAAGCGGTGATTTAAGATTCACTAGGGAACTAAATGTGTTGGCCGCAGAGAAGCGGAATCAGTTGCTTGCCCAACTGAAACAGTGTGATTACTTCAAATGTATGCCTGAGATCAAGGGAACAATTGTTTGTCTTGTGAAGTCTAGAAATATTTTTGTTGGGATCGCTCAGCTACTAAATTTTGACTGCTCAAGTGTCGACTTCGCTTACAGAGTCACCCTGCAATAAAGGCAACTACAGCTAACCAACCGGCACATTAAATGCTTCTAAAGGTGATGCAGATTACCAACCAATCAAGGACATGTCATTGTTTCATCCTGCACGTAATGTGGCATACTAATTCAATGGGACTCAGAGCCAGGGTAGATATTATTAAGTGCTTGGCTATTTTGCATTGTTCAGTGGAAAATAATGGTTTTTTGCTTGAAATAAAAGCAACTGCCAACAAGCAATTATCCTCTGCCCTGCACTGAAGCAAAATACACCTCATGTTTGGAATCAGAGGAAAGTTGGGAATTTTACTGATCCTTATGAATGGCAGGGTAAAATAGTTTGCCAAAATAAACTTGTTATTAATAAGGCAAGGCTGAAGCAGCACCAGTTACTAATTTGGTGGCGTTACTTATGGGCTTGTACATGTATATATTCATATGAACAGATCTGCACATTCATTAACAATATCTAAAACCTATCTTACCCACTGCCAACTCTAAAATCTCAGTGCAGCAAAAGTGTAAACAAGTTTATAAACTCCTGACCCTGCTTCTCCATTCTGATTTATTGCTGTTAACAGCTGCTACTGATTCTCTAGAAGTTACTGTTTCTGTATAATATACTGACCACAGAGATTGCTCAGTCCAGGAGTTAGAGCATTATTTCCTGTGATTTCTGCACCAAGAAGAGTCTCGAAGATTTCTGAGCTTTCCAGAAAATCCTCAATGGATCCAAAATCTGCAAATACGTAGATATTTACATACTGATATTAAATCACCCATGAAAGGCCAGAAGGCAGCCCACTTCTGAGATAGAGATAGATAGATAGGGATGGTAGGTCCAGTCTCTCTCTTCACACAGCAGAGAAAAATTTATCAGACTACCCAAATGGCTTTCTTTTACATGGCCATTTTTATATCTGACTGTGGACACAAAGCAACAAATAGAAAAGGGGGACAAGCTTATACTGAAAATCAATTATTCTTTAGCCAGTTTACATAGAGGATTTTGTACTAAAGTTGAACTTCTCGTGGATAAAATGAATGAACTGCAGACTCAGTGGAACAATGCAGAAGAAAGCCCCACCCCACCAGACCCCACCACCTTCTACACCTACCCCTGCTCCACCCACTAGCAGATTCCTCCAGGGACATCACTATAGGAAACAGCAGAGACTGCAAACACTATGGGCATAGCCAGAGGGCCAAGGCTCCATGGCAGCAGAAGACTCCACCCTTCTCCTTTAGAATACTCTTTATTGTCTGGCTTCATCAGTGAGAACCACATTCTTCTATGCAAGTGCAAAACTGAATCCTCTTGGGTTAGGTAGACTGTTCATCAGACCGTTGTCTCGAGGCAATCGTCATTCGGACCTCAATTGTTTCTCTGTCCAAATTTCCAGGCTCTTCCGAGTTCCTTAACGGAGAGGCAGACTTGTCTGTTATTGATTTAGCTGAAACACACAAAACAGCCACATCCAATTTTACTGTCAGTCTTATAAGAAATGGTTGAGCCAATCGGCAGAGTGTATGTTCTATGTACAAACTTCTTTCCTTCCCGTGATTCCTATGCACAAAACCACCGTTTGACATTTTCCGGTCTCTGCCCTTAAATGATGAAAGAAGAGACTTCAGTCTGGCGTCTCTAGTTAAACCTGGCAAAGCCTCTAGTCTGAAATTCTGAAAAGCTTCTGCTAGTCAGAGGAACCAAACAGGGTGAGAAGAAGCCCTGAACTGACAAAAGAACATTTCCTGGAATCCAAGACCTGCTAGGGTGTCATTCTGCTTGCAAGCCATTTTAACTACCCTGCCACACTTGAAACTTGCCTGTCTCTTAATTCCTCTGATGATCAATGATTGAACATCTATTCTGGTTTGAAAGACATACTTGAAGATTTAACATACAGGGAGTTCCTGACTTACAACAGCCCATTTAGTGACACTTCAAAATTACAATGGTAATTGTAATAAAATGACATGGGATCGTTTTTCAGTTACAACCTTTGCAGCATCACCATGGTCATGTGATCCAAATTCAGATGCTTGGCAACTGGTTCATATTTATGATGACTGAAGTGCCCCGGGGTCATGTGATCACCTTTTCAGACCTTCTGACAAGCAAAGGTAATGGGGGAAGCCAGACTCACTTAACAACCGGGTTGCTAATTGAACAACTGCAGTGATTCACTTAACAACTGTGGCAAGAAATGACGTAAAATGGGGCAAAACCCATTTAACAAATTCTCACTTAATAAAGAAAATTTGGGATCAATTTAGTGTGTACTTCACTATAGTGTATACTTGGTAAAAGGTAAACATCAGATTTAGCTTGGACTTAAATAGGGTAGGAAGGAAGGCTGGTTGCCAGCTAAATGAAGCACGAATTATGCCTACTATTCTGCCCATATTTTTGACCATGTGATTCTCACTGCTGGAAATCTGTATACTGTATGGGTAGTCCTTGACTTACAGCCATTTGTTTAGCAACCATTCCAAGTTACAATGCAACTGAAATAAGGGATTTATGACTGATCCTTGCACTTATGACCATCGCAACATCACCACAGACACCTGATCAAAATATGTGCACTTGGCAACTGGCATATTTTTTCGATGGTTGCAGCATCCCTGGATCATGTAATCACCATTTGTGACCTCCTCAGTCAGCTTCCAACAACCATAATCATGGAGAAAACTGAATTTGCTTAACAACCATGTGATTCACTTAATGACTTCAGCAATTTACTTAACAACTGTGGCAAAAAAGGCCATAAAATTTGTGCACAAATCACTTAAAAACTGCCTTGTTTAGAAATCAAAATTCTGGTTCCAATTGTGATCATAGGTCAAGGGCTCCCTATATTTCTGGAGGTACATAATGGGCTATTTAAAATACAATTCATCAAACCAAATATAGCAGCAAGAATTGCAGGGAGCCTTCAATTTACAACCTGTCATTTGATGACCATTTGAAGTTATGACAACTCAGAAAGGGCACTTTACAGTCTGTAAAGCACATCACAGCATCACCCCTGCAGTCATGATTGTAATCTGGATGCTTGGCACTTATGGCAAATTGCCAAGTGCCTCACACTTACGTGATTGCTATTTGCTTCTTCTCTGCTGGCTTCCACAGAAAGTCAATGGGGAAGCTGGCAGGAAATGTTGCCACTGCTGAAGAATTCACACACACCCCATTCATAAGGAGGGGGTAAAAATCCTTCATAGGGCTACACAAACGAAGCTTCAAAATTTGTGATCCCCACTTTGTTTCCCCAGCCCAGCGTAGCAGTTCCCTTCTGTGCACAGAGGGATAAGGATATAATCCAAAGATTATAAAGATGCCCACTTAATTTCTCCAGCCCTGCACAAGAGTTCCCTTTTGTACAAGGAGAGAATGCTAACTCATGTGTTGGGCTGAAGAAACAAAACAGCATTCTTCATGATCCCCCAGTTCATTTATCTAGCCCAGTACATGAGTTCCCTTCTGCACAAGGAGGAAAGAGGAACCAGTGCACTGGGGTGGAAAAACAAAATGCGGATTGCAAATATCGCCACTTGGTTTCTCCAGCCCGGTGCATGAGTTCCCTTCTATGCATGAGGAGAAGCAAGCATCTGTGAAGGGTTGCAGAACCAAGGCTTGGATCTACCACAGGAGGTCTTTTCCAGATACGGAGGGGAACTGCCTGCCCTCCTTAGGCAGATACATCTTTCTCTTTGTCTGCTTAATGACCTCAACTGGGAGAGCTGGGATTGTGGTCATCGAGCAATGTGATCACATGGACATCTTGCTCAACAATTGAGATTTTGATCCCAATTGTGGCTGTAAGTTGGAGACTAACATAATCCTTTTTAGCTGAATATTTTTCATAGCAGAGGTTTTTTTTTTGTAAGGTTACATTACGCTTCATTGCCATTCATCTAGTAGTTTTAATATTACTGTCTATTAAAACATGGACCAGATGTCAGAAATACTTATCAATTTCATTTTGTGAGCCTCTATAGGCATGCAATTTCTGTCACCTTCTCTTGCAACACACAGAATCTCTATTGCTGCACCCTCTTTTATTTTTAAATGGCATCTTAAGGAGGATGCCATTTAAAAGATGCATCAAAGGTGAAAGCCATGTGAGTAGCAATTCATGTCCAGTATAGTTCTCAGAAGGAGCTGAGATTTCCGGTGCTAAAGCTGCATTCTGTCCTTTCTAGCATGACCAAACCAAGTAACATAAATGAACCCAAATGATAGTCAGATCTTGTTTCTTTTGCTCTGCGACAGTCCTATTTCCCAAATGCTGCATTTATAAAACATCTATTTATATAGTAAGATCTGTAAAACCTGATTTACACTTAAAGTATTTTTTTATATGAAGTAACATCTGAGAAGCAAACTTGTGTTGGATGTTTAGTATTTGAGGGCAAGCTATAGAAATCCAAGTTTCTCACTAGCGTGCTTATTTTCCCTCTTTCTATTCAAGATAACATGCATTTGCTTTGAATGTTCCAAAGTATTATCAGTCTGCTCCTCCTGATGAGTTGGATGACTGCTGCCATATTGGGAGAGAAATCCAAACATCTGGAGGACATCAAATTTAGAAGATTGTTATCAGAGATCTATTATCCTACACATGTAATTATGTGTGAACCAGTCCATATTTAACCTGTATTCTACCGGATCTTCCTTGAATTCAGTTAATAATAAAAAGTATGACCAAGCCATGCTTGAAACAGTGCAGGAAATAAATTTTCCAAGATTAAATATAAGTCAGTCACTGGGTCTCTCAGTCACTGGGTCGCTCTCTACTGGAATCTTTTCTATTTCATTAGAGAGAAGTGCCTTGAAGATGGGCTCCAGCATGAGTCTGAAAACTTGGAAGAGTAAACCTCTGGTCCCGGTTACCAACCCAGATTCAATCTTGCAACATTATCCTGAGACACATATCCCAAGCCTTCATTCGTGATAAATTTCTCCTTCCTTATCTGGGAAAGGTGAAAACACTTCAATGGTAGGTTCTGTTCTTTTTCTACATTAGTCACTGGGTAAGTAAGCATTGTTTTGGAATGAAAAAATCACCATAAATTCTGGAAAGATTCTTCAATCAGGCTGCTGCAGTGTGATTCCTTAATGACTTAAGTTTACATTTGCATCTCAGATGTGACCATTCAGCACCTCAGTGCTACCAAGGGGAATTCTCTATAATGGACAGATGGGTTCGTGGCCATGAAGACTGCAAAGAATGGTAGAATCACTCAGCTGGGAAGAGTTTTCTCACAAAAACAATAAAAAGCCTACTGGCCCTGGAACAGCATATCAGTTCTTAACTACCAATTTCATGCCTACTTTTAAAAACATTTTTGAAAACAGCAGCCTTCCCCAAAATGATATCCTCTACCAGTACTGGATTGCAGCTCCTGTTATCTTCCGTTTTGAAGCTTTGGGATGAAGCAGTTATTGCAGTCCAAAAGAGTTGGAAGGTCAGGACAAGGCTGGGAAAGTATGCTTTGTTTCTGTCCGGTCCATAAGAGACTCTTTACTAAAGAGATGATGTCCTGAAGACTTTCTCATGCCTTGGCCTACATCCACTGCCTACATGAATCATAGACAGAAGGAGGGGTTCCTGTGACTGTTTCTGCAGAAAGGCAGAGGCTCAATGCTTAAGTAGGATCTGGCAGTTTCCTGGGAAACTAACCTCATCTCTCATGGGAAATGGAGGAACATAAACATACTAGTAAAAGCTGCAAAAGAGAAAGTTGCAGTCTGGCTATTACCGTATTTTTCGGAGCATAAGACACACTGGAGTATAAGACACACCAAGGTTTTGGAGAGGCAATTTTTTTAAAAAAGTAGGTAGGTAGAGTGATAGAGAGGGAGAGAAAGAGAGAGAAATATAGTAGGTAGGTAGGGAGAGAGAGAATAGTTAAGTAGGTAGATAGATAAAGGGATAGAGAGAGAGAAATAGAGATAGAGAGATAGAGAAATACAGTAGGTAGATTTATTTATTTATTTATTTATTTATTTATTTATTTATTTATTTATTTATTTATTTATTTATTTATTT